TCCTAAGAATCTATTAGAATAAAGCTAACAAAAAAAAACTTTCACGATAGCTGTTGCATACTCCTAAGAATCTATTACCTCCTAAGAATCTATTAGAATAAAGCTAACAAAAAAAAAAAACTTTCACGATAGCTGTTGCAAAGTTCGTATCATCACTTTCAACAACCATTGGACCAATTTTTGATTGTACTAATAGGTGTTCGGAATTTAATTCTTTGGTTTCCTTTAAATCAACAAATTTAAAATAATCAGCACCAACAAGAAGGTCGGGTTGTTTCCAATAATTCGTTAAATTTTTGAATTGGCCTGCAATCGGTGTCTCAACCACTCGTAATTCATTTGTTAAGTTTTCAACTACGTTGATCTGCAGTGTTATAATTTCCTTTTCCGTAGTTTGTACACTTAACTGCGTACGGGCAGTGAAACATAATATGGGCTTTTTTATACCAAACAGAGCTAACTTCAAGTTTTGCTGTTCCGTTTCAGTTAATTTCAGGTGAGATAATTCCTTGTAGATAAAGGATAATTGTTAAAGTGAACATATTAATGAAAAGGAATATTCGACCTTACAGTTCAACTCTTCCAACTCAAACAAACACAATAAGGGAAAGAAAGGAGGGAAACTCTTATGTATAGAGATGTCCCCTATTACCTCAACGACAAGAAAAGGCCTTGGCACTGTTTGATATAGGATCCTATATCAAACAGAAAAAACCAGAAAAAACCTTTTCTGTTTGATATAAGATCCTATATCAAACAGTGCCAAGGCCTTTTCTTGTCGTTGAGGTAATAGGGGACATCTCTATACATAAGAGTTTCCCTCCTTTCTTTCCCTTCTTGTGTTTGTTTGAGTTGGAAGAGTTGAATTGTAAGGTCGAATATTCCTTTTCATTAGTATGTTCACTTTCCTTGGTATCTTGGATTCTGTCTAAGTGTGTCATATTGATTGTTTTTGATTCTTTTTGCTACATAACGCGCTATTGTGAGAATTCCTACAATAAAAGCACTGTGCTTTCCATTTGCAATCTTCTCCATCATAGTTTTCTCTAAAACAAGACAGATTTTTTTCAGTGCTTTGAGACGATTTATTCGAGCGTTAGTTGTGGGATAAATATTGCATTCCCTGTCCCAATGATTGCGGGAGCAAAAGATACATGATCTCTTTTTTGTTGTTCTTTATATTAGTCTTAGGAAACTTTCATCGTTTTGAATCGTTGCTAATACTGAAATCCCTCCGATGTTGCTTTGCGCCAGTTTAGGCATTGTTGTTTTACTATCAATATGAGTGAATGAAAGCTAGCTGCTTCTAACTCGTTCATTCACGTTGATCAACTCTGACAGAAACTTCGAAACTGAACAAGGTGTATCTGTTTTCTTTTGATGACATACCTTGTTTAAAATCCAACGTGGTAATTTGTTCTCTATCAAAGTTCCAATAAAGTGTTCCAGGCTTTAGGAGAAAGCCTCTAGTTGACGTAGTACTCGCTCCATAGTTCCGATTGTTCCAACCTATTCTTTCTCATTTTTCTTGATTGGAATTCGTTATATAACATTTTCGTTATAGTCAAGGATCGCCACTTATTTTTTAACAGTCTTCTTGACTTCGTAATTTCCTGGAGCTATATCATAGCCCCTTATTACTTGCAAAGCATTTCCTTTTAAACATGAATAAAAGTAATTTAACTTCTGAATTTCCAGAATGAATTGTTAATGAACTGCAACATTGAAACTACTCCAAAACTGCCCCCATTGTCTTAGATCTCCACTAAAAGTGGATAACGACAATTGTGGAAGATTGACCATAGGATGAGATATGGATCTCAACGGTTCTTTTGATTGAAACAGTTTTTGTGAGAGCCGCGTTAGTTCATGATCAGCTTTGTTTTTGTTCATCGTTAATGTTACCTTCATCGAGTATTCTGAATAATCCATTGTCTCCTTTTGTGAATTCTTCATACTCTTCTCCCTCATTCTTCCTTTTTTGTGTGATGGTAGATTTGGATGTAATTCAGCCGCTTGTCGTTTGTAGATTCCAGCGTATGTATGGATGCATAGTTGAAATCTTTGAATTTTGTCAATTATTCGTTTTCTTCGTAAAATTCCTGTCGCTATTCCATTGTCAAAGCATGATTTGGATGCGTTAATTGCATCATCTTTGCTCCTTGAAGTAGGTTGTCCAATCTTTCCTTCCCGGTTCCATACTTGCTATGGTATTAGCAGCCATTTTACCTCACCTTGGGCACCAAAAATTTGTTGCGAAAGCGTTGTAGATTGAATGGTGTTGATTCATAACAAATTATTTGTTAAGATTTATTTTGCAGTTAGGAATTTTATCCAATAATTCCACAGATGAAATGTCTCAACAGGTGAAATGGACAGCAGAATATATGATGATAGTGGTCAGTAGGGGAGAATAAGCTATGACGTTGAAAGACGTGGAAAAAATGCCAAAAGGAGTGAGCAGCGCCAGGTCCCCACATTTGAGTATTTATATACCCAACACTGGAGGTGGTACCAGAATAGTAGATCATGGAAAGGAGAGGATTGATTCGTTACATTGTTGTCACGTAAGAGACAAAAAACAATGACAAATGCGTGGCAATGCTATCTCTCACGATATTATAGTAACACAAAGAGATCATATTACAAGAAATAAATTTTAACAGACAAAATTGTAAGGTGCAGCTTTCTCACTCTGTCAGTGGCATAATTCTCAATCTATGTGAATAATTTTATCACAAATATTCGGATTTTCCGACAGTCACATATTCGAGTGGTGTGTTTCAATAATAATATTAAATGGACATTTTCATGTATTATTCTGAAGTGTGAATATATTTAATTAATAACTGTTCAGATTTCCTCTGCGAATATATTGTTACATTATAATGGTCATTTAGCTTCATCGAAGCTGGCAGTGATATCATTCTTACAAACACTTATCAAGCTTGTATAAATACAATGATGAATTCACGTGGTATGACGAAGGCCGCTGCTGAATCATCCTTGAAAGTAACTCATATGCTTTTATCTCACATGCTTTCGGGCTTGTAGAGTTCACTAAAAATATTGCATAAAACAAAATTTGAGAGAGGATATGTTTCGGTAGTTAAAACCGTAATATGGCATTATTTGAATTGTAATATGATTAACATGTATCTGAAGTGCTGTATTTTTTTAAACAGAAATTGGTTTCACTGGCAGAACAGGCAGTTGAAGAATGTTTAGTGCGAGAAAAAATAAGCATAGTTGGTTCAGTAGGACCATATGGTGTAACTTTTAATGATGGTTCTGAATACAATGGGGATTACGTTGATGAGGTTGAAGAACAGGTATGGATCACATTTAAATCCAACAAAAAAATGGCGATGAGTTATAGAAGTGATGATTGTGGATTTATTTTTTTTTGATATTAAAGGTTATGGTTGATTATCATATGCAACAAACCATTCCACTGCTTCAAGCAGGTCTCAAAGTTGTAGCCTACGAAACAGTTCCATCATACAAGGAGGCTATGGCTATACTGAAGGCAGTAGATTCTATTGACTATTCGTATCATTTCTGGATATCGTTTTCTTGTAAAGTAAATTTTGGATCCAGTAATGTTTATGAAATTAAGCTGTGTTACTTATTTTTTGTAAATGATTACTTAGATTAGTCTAAACTTTCAAATACCTTAACTTATAGATTAACCCTTGCAGAATGGTGAGCAAACTAATCACATTGAAAGTTTTCGCAAAAGTGTAAAGAAAATTTCTCATCATCCCAATATTCTTGGCATAGGTATGTTCATCTTAAATTTCTCGCATTGAAGTGGTATAGGAAATTGCTCTAGATAAAATGTCAAATGCCGAGATTTAAAATTTTACAAATTCAGGAATTAATTGCACATCACCAAATTACATAACGCCGTTGTTGCAATCTGCTGGTACCTCAGTTAATTCATTACCATTTATTATTTATCCAAACAGTGGAGAAATATATGAAAATGGCACGAAAAAGTTCTATTTTTTCTTTGCAATTTTATTATGTCTTCTGTATAATTTTTTCCAAGATCTTTTTACTGTATCATTAATAAGATTAATTCACAATAAAAAAAAATGAGACTCCATTTCTTGTTGATGAACACTTAGTTAACCAATAATTTTTGTTCAGAGGTAAGATTCCGTTAAGCGACAAAATTTTAACTGTTATTTCCAGCATGTAAATATTTTTTCAGATGGAGAAGTGGCAGATGTACCTTCCCTGACATAAAGCAGCTAATGGAATGGAAGGATTTAGGTATGAAAGTGGTAGGTGGTTGCTGTCGAGTTGGGGCGAAAAAAATCAAAGAACTGAGCATATTAGTTGCAAAATTGAATTCCGAATACACCACATCCTAATATTCTGTAAAAATTGAAAGCCATAAGAATTATTAAATACGCTCCTTTCAAAGTGATTTGGCTTATTGTTAATATTATTTATAGTGTACAGTTTATAAGCATTTTGTTTGCGAAATGCAATGTGTTTTTAATGAACAACAAAAAGATTTGATGCAACCTTTGTCAGCAAAACATTCATTGGTAATTAATTGTATCGCGGAAAGGTTGAGATGACGATATCATCTCCTATCACTGCCATTACAATACCACTTCTCTTCATGTCTTGTTGCCCTTGCTTTATCTTCGTTAAAATCTTTGAAGTTCTTATCGATTTTATAGTATTATTGTATGCTTCCCGTTGTTCCTGCTTTATCTTAAAGTCTTTAATATTCTTACCGCTTTACATGCACTGTTTGCTTTTTATTTCCACGAAATAGCCCCTTGAGAGCGTTTTGGTAATCGTGATTAAAAACCTGAAATTAGAAAAAAATCATTCGTTTGTAAAATTTCTAATTACTGACACTTGTGCTTTTTGTCCTTGCATGCTAGATAATATTGCAGTTCCAGCATACCGTATAAATAATTGGATTCATTGCCGAATTGCTGTATCCTAGCCAAGTGATAAACATCCATATGTGCGGATCAACTTGGCACGATGAACAGAATTGCACCAGTACATACATTCTAGAAATCCGAAGTTTCTGTTAAACAGCAGTTAGAAACAAAAGTTTCCAAATGATAGCTTTCGATGGGCATATTAATTAGTGTGCTGAAAACCCAACAACAGTGGGAATTGGATTTGTTCTATTATTATAGAAAATATTCCAAAAATTTTCCATAACTACGAATGGTACTTTCCAATATTCAAACAATTATAGATAAATTTTCAAGGAGTATATAATGAACAGTTGAGTATTATTCACTACTATAATATCGAACTGTATTATAATAAATTAAAAAAATCCCTTACATGAAAAACGGCGTCCAACAAATTGCAAAACAACCTAAAATAATACCGAAAACTTTGACACCTCGACGCTCCTTAGCGGTTGAGATACTTTTTGGTTTATGTTGCAAAGCAGCTCGAGCATTTGTTTGCCTACAAAAAAAGAATAGGAAAATTAGTCATAATTTAATTTACGAATTCGTACTTGTTATTTTTCAAACTAGATGACAATCAAATAGTATATTAATATGTTTGACTCCAATTTCGTGATTCGTCTTTTTTCGGATATTGCCAAAAAACAGATCGAAATATTTCCGAAAACATTAAGCAAATCAAAAAATTCTTATCATATTTTTTAGATGACCAAGATTTAATATATATAGTAATGAATAGTACAACTAGTTGATGAAGTAGAAGTCATGAACTTATTCTCCAACAATATCATTTAATGGATGTTAGATTAGTATTATTTTTTGTTCAATTCTTGATTATTCATTTATTTTCTCTTCTTTTGATTTCTTTTACTTCATGCTTAACTGTATGTTTTCTCATTCATATTCATACGTTATATTAAAATTTATGTAATACCTTTTCGAGTGTCGTCGCTTCCTTTCGTACGTTACTCTTGAGTTTGACGCTATTTTAAGAGGTTGTACCAAATGCATTCTGCTTATTTCGATTTCACTATCTTGAGAGCATTTCACTGATTTCTTCTCTTTCGTGATGCTATTTTCAGATATGATAACACTATCACTGACTGCAGTTCTTATTGCTGTGTCTGCCGTTATTGATGTTCTTCTCTGATCTTTATGAGCTTTTCCATCTTTCACTATTTTTCCTCTGTTCGTTTCCTGATTTTATTAAAACTTTTATAATCGACAAAAATTAAGTCATACCTCGAAGATAATATTCTTAATGTGCAAATTTTCAGAAATTCGTATAAGATTTCATAAGCAATATTAACGGGATAACCGATAACTTTTACTCTTGGATTAATTCTACATTCTTGATGAAGAATATCAAGAAATGAGTTCCAAGAGGAAATAGAAAATTTAAAAAAAACATTAGACAAAGTAGCTTCCAATTCGCTTCATCTATCCTTTTTAATATAAAAATACTTAAATTGTTATCAAAAAATTTGTGCTATAAATAACAACTTCAAATTTTGAAGATTAACTGATCTTTGAGGAACTATCGTATTAACGTATTCTATGAAAATTAAAGCTTTTATCATCTAATTTATCATCTAATTAAGTAATCACTGCTATGAAAATTATAAATAACAAATAGCATAAGTTTGAATGATGCGCACTTCTCGAGAACTGAATTCTTTTGCTGTGCCACCAACGGACTCCTTACATTTCTTGCGTATTGGCCGAGCAAGTTGTTCTTTGCGATTGGAAGCGGAAGTGATTTCTGAAGTAAAATTGTAAGAGTACTGCGAAAAATGTGAATTTTAAGCTTAATTTAATCGCTCATATGCATTTTAGATTCGAAACTAACTTTTCAAGACATTCTCCCTTGTGAACTGAATCTATTAATTTTAAATCTTTGAAAAATAGTGAGTCTCGCAGTGCTGAAAACAACACATTTGAAGTTGTTTATTTATACTTAAACTAAAGCTATTCATTCCTAAATGAGACGATTGCTTATGCCAGCTAAAAAAGTTATCCTAGTTTTGGTCCATAACTAAATTCACACTTAAATATTTCATATCAAAAGCACTATGAAAAATTTTTGATTTTTACACCATACATACTATCTCCTTGCAAGTAAACATTGTAATAAATCCAACCTCTTTTTACATTTTCTTCCATGTCTTTAAGGAATTCATCATCCGTTGGTAAAACGTGACTCAAATCGTGCAAAATTGTTGAT